CAGGACATGTCTATACAGAGCAGCTGGGACGGGGACAAGACTGAATGGCACAGACAAAAACAACACTATATAACACTACACGCCTGTATAAAATGGCAGGGAATCAAATTCTAGATACCAGGAAATAAAATTACTCTAACAAATTGAAAATTGATTGCATCTGATTAAAGCATCTGACATCCAAAAAGTGGATGTTTAACATCAGCGTAATTAGTTCACTGTATACATAACACCGTCCTTAATCAAAACATTGCTACATTGTGAATTAGAGGTTAAATGCACTTAGTCAAGGCCATCCCTACATTGAGAAGAGGGGAATCCAGCAACTGATCTCAGCAAAGTACTTAAATTGAATACAGGCCTACTATTAGCTGTTGACTAGATGAGCAGATCAAGAGAGCTCCGAAGTTTACAGTACAATTATAATTACATCCTCACAGCAATTTGTAGTTTCTACATCATCAATATCCCACTGTTGTCAAGTGAAAGCTAATTATATTGGCTGTAAATAATTAATCAAAACTCATCCCTGCTGCTGACAGGAGAATTCTGATAGGTGTTTTACGTACAAAACGCTTCATTACTGTTCCGTTGAAATATTTTGTGCAAATTCTAACAGCTTGGGAATTTATCACTTCAGGATATGATAACAGGTCTTCTATATTGTGTTATGGACTGAAGGCAATATTAAAGTTTGTTAGTAACACAGGGGCCTGAGGAACAAAAACACAGCGGCAGAGATAGTAACACAGGGGCCTGAGGAACGAAAACACAGGGGCAGATATAGTAACACAGGGGCCTGAGGAATGAAAACACAGGGGCAGAGATAGTAACACAGGGGCCTGAGGAACAAAAACACAGGGGCAGAGATAGTAACACAGGACCCTGAGGAACGAAAACACAGGGGCAGAGATAGTAACACAGGACCCTGAGTAATGGAAACACAGGGGCAGAGATAGTAACACAGGGGCCTGAGAAATGAAAACACAGGGGCAGAGATAGTAACACAGGGGCCTGAGGAACAAAAACACAGGGGCAGAGATAGTAACACAGGACCCTGAGGAACGAAAACACAGGGGCAGAGATAGTAACACAGGACCCTGAGTAATGAAAACACAGGGGCAAAGATAGTAAAACAGGGGCCTGAGGAACAAAAACACAGGGGCAGAGATAGTAACACAGGGGCCTGAGGAACAAAAACACAGGGGCAGAGATAGTAACACAGGGGCCTGAGGAACGAAAACACAGGGGCAGAGATAGTAACACAACAAAAACACAGGGGAAAACACAGGGGAGAGATAGTAACACAGGACCCTGAGTAATGGAAACACTGAGGCAGAGATAGTAACACAGGGGCCTGAGGAACAAAAACACAGGGGCAGAGATAGTAACACAGGGGCCTGAGGAACAAAAACACAGGGGCCTGAGGAACGAAAACACAGGGGCAGAGATAGTAACACAGGGGCCTGAGAAATGAAAACACAGGGGCAGAGATAGTAACACAGGGGCCTGAGAAATGAAAACACAGGGGCAGAGATAGTAACACAGGGGCCTGAGGAACAAAAACACAGGGGCAGAGATAGTAACACAGGACCCTGAGTAATGGAAACACTGAGGCAGAGATAGTAACACAGGGGCCTGAGGAACAAAAACACAGGGGCAGAGATAGTAACACAGGACCCTGAGGAACGAAAACACAGGGGCAGAGATAGTAACACAGGGGCCTGAGGAATGAAAACACAGGGGCAGAGATAGTAACACAGGGGCCTGAGGAATGAAAACACAGGGGCAGAGATAGTAACACAGGACCTGAGAAATGAAAACACAGGGGCAGAGATAGTAACACAGGTTCCTGAGGAACGAAAACACAGGGGCAAAGATAGTAAAACAGGGGCCTGAGGAATGAAAACACAGGGGCAGAGAGAGTAACACAGGGGCCTGAGGAATGAAAACACAGGGGCAGAGATAGTAACACAGGACCTGAGGAATGAAATCACATGGGCAGAGATAGTAACACAGGGGCCTGAGGAATGAAAACACAGGGGCAGAGATAGTAACAAAAGGGCCCGAGGAAAAAACACAGGGGCAGAAACTGTAACATACAGGCATGAAGAGCAAACACAGAGGCAGGAAAAAGTAACACAGAGGTCTGGAAACAGATAGCCTAAACGGACCTGGGAAATACAAACAGGGGCACAGGACAGTAACATAGAAAGCAAGAGAAAGTAACACATTGGCCTGGGGAACAGTAATGCAATGGCCTTCAGATATATCTGTATAATAGTAACATAAGGTCTGTTACATCAATTAACATTGGCATTCACAACGTAACACAGTGATTTTGAGGCTGGAAAATACCTGTACATTTTAGAAGGTCAAATTTTTGTTTGCTGTATGCAATGTGTAATCAAATAATATCAGACCAGTAAGTATGATAACGACGTCTTTAGCTTCTGGATTATAGAAAAGTTACCATATGTATTAACTAGAATACACCAAAAATATCCTGATAGTTATAAATCATATAATTCTAAGTGTTTCCCTGAAAGTCAGAAACACAGCCCCCGTAAGGGTACCTCAGACTAATTACAAGTAAAACAAAGCATGCCATACACAAAAAGGTCTAGATAAAGCTTGGCAGGTCTGTTATATCACAATATCAGCAATACACACAACCATCATCTTAATAGTTGCCAAGTATTCATAACATGCACATCCTCCCTTTGGAGATAAACCAACCGTATCTCAACATTCTTCTTCTGGTTATCTCCCTTGTATAGAAGTTCATATGAGTGCTCCCCCTTGTCTGGTGATAGGATGGCTGTGTTATCATGTGTGGGTTTCCACTTTACTCCAGCCCTGATATTTCCCTACAGATCAGTTAGCCAATACAGGCGGAGTACTTTATTGTTTTCATTGAGGGGAGACTGCAAGCTCGATTGAACATTGAGGTAGTTAAGATTCAAAATATTGAAAAGCTAATATCTGAAAATGGTAGCCTGTTTGTAAGTACCTGCCATAAAACACAACAAGACAACACATATATATTCCATTTGTGTAAGAAAAAATCAAATTGTGTTTTCTTACTTGTATCCAATTCACAAGGGAAATTTATTAGTGAGTTTAACAATTATGGAGAAATTCTGATCCATGATAGTCTCAATTTCAACTCCTACACAATCAACATTGTAGATTGCCACTCTACACTAATAGCAATGATTTAAAGGACACTTCAAAAGAAGCGAGATGTTCTATTTTATACAGTAGGAATATCTGCCTACATCACCACCTGCTTTCACCCTACCTTGACGTCTTATATTTACATACAAAATAGCATTCCTATCTAATTGATTAACTAATTAATTAGTTATTTGGTAGTAATTTTATCATAAAATATTTTTGTGAAAAGATACCCATTTATAGGATTTCCCTCTGAAATTTTGATGAAAATTAGATTTCATTTTAGCTACTATCAAAAGCAGAAATCTGCCTTCTTGAAGGACTTTGGACTTTGGTAATGAGTACAAGGATGTTACAGTTATCTCCCTTACAATAATCAATGAACAATGTAAACTATATCTGCATGGGATATATTCAGATGTGAATTGCCTCCCCTTAGTTGTAAATGAAACTTCATTGAGGACACGTGTGGCCTTGTAGTGGCACTTCATCATCTGTGGTTTTCAAAATATTGATCTGAAATCAATGAGCTGCCATGTATTAACCAATGTGACTGTTTTACTAAGATATGTTGTAACAAACTAGATTGAAGCAGTACATCATAAACAATCTTGGGTGTGTGGGTACTCCCTTAAATCAGTTTGATTGAATCACTTGTGTTGAATTTTTATCTTCTTTCAACATACCTGTGAAAGCCAGAGAATAATTACATTAACATGCATTCATTAAGAGCTGACTCTAAAACAGTGATTATTCAACAATGATTTTTACAGCAGGTTTGCTTTCCTTATCTATACAATAAATACTTCTTCCATTCAAACATGCCATGTGTTTCTTAGATGATCAGGGATCAATTGGAGGATTTTTGACCCCCAGTAGGGAAGCTACGTTTTAGTGTGTCACTCCATTCTACGAGATGAAAATCAATTTAAATACTACAAATATGGTACAGTGACCAAGACACGGCATGATCTCATATTGTATAACAGTGGCCAAGACACTGTCTGATCTCAGGTTGTATAACAGTGGTCAAGATACTGTCTGATCTCAGATTGTATAACAGTGGCCAAGACACTGTCTGATCTCAGATTGTATAACAGTGGCCAAGACACTGTCTGAATTCAGGTGGCATAACAGTGGCCAAAGCACTGCCTAATCTCATATTGTATAACAGTGGTTAAGACACTGTCTGATCTCAGATTGTATAACAGTGGCCAAGACACTGTCTGATCTCAGATTGTATAACAGTGGCCAAGACACTGTCTGATCTCAGATTGTATAACAGTGGCCAAGACACTGTCTGATCTCAGATTGTATAACAGTGACCAAGACACTGTCTGATCTCAGATGGTATACCAATGGCCAAGACACTGTCTGATCTCAGATTGTTTACCTGTGGCCAAGACACTTGTCTGATCTCAGATTGTATAACAGTGGCCAAGACACTGTCTGATCTCATATTGTATAACAGTGGCCAAGACACTGTCTGATCTCAGATTGCTTATCTGTGGCCAAGATACGGTCTGATCTCAGATGGTATACCAATGGCCAAGACACTGTCTGATCTCAGATTGTTTACCTGTGGCCAAGACATGGCCTGATCTCAGATTGTATAACAGTGACCAAAGCACTGCCTGATCTCAGACTCTATATCACAGGCAAAGAAAGACACTGCCTCACTCAGATGGCATATTGGTGGTCAAGACACTGACAGGAAAAAGATAATGAGATGAGTAATCACACACACACACACCCAGAGTAAATATCAAAAGGGAGGTAACTCAACTCACAGACTTGACAGTAAAGAAGAAGGTACTTACATTTAAAAGGGCATGTAACTTTGTATCCTGGAACACTTTTTCTATGAGGTCTGTCTCTGTGTCGCTGCAGTCTGTTAGGCACTGGATTTCTTCCAGGGAGTCGAGTACCTGGGACACAGCTCCTTGTACAAAACAGAGGTTATACCTTAGTCCTGATCAGACATATCCCAGAGGGTCAACATAACAGAGGGTCAACATACCACAGGGTCAACATACCACAGGGTCAACACAAAGGGTTATACCTCAGTCCTGATCAGACATATACCACAGGGTCAACATACCACAGGGTCAACATACCACAGGATCAACATACTACAGGGTCAACATACTGTAGGGTAAACATACCACATGGTCAACATACCACAGGGTCAACACAAAGGGTTATACCTTTGTCCTGATCAGACATATCCCAGAGGGTCAACATACCAGAGGGTCAACATACCACAAGGTCAAAATACCACAGGGTCAACATACCACAGGGTTAACATATCACAGGGTCAACATACCACAGAGTCAACATACCACAGGGTCAACACACCACATGGTCAACACATCACAGGGTCAACACATCACAGGGTCAACATACCACAGGGTCAACATACTACAGGGTCAACATACCACAGGGTCAACATACAACAGGTCAACATTCCACAGGGTCAACACATCACAGGGTCAACACACCACAGGGTCAACACACAACAGGGTCAACATACCACAGGGTCAACACATCACAGGGTCAACATACTACAGGGTCAACACATCACCGGGTCAACATACTACAGGGTCAACACACCACAGGGACTACATACCACAGGGTCAACATACCAAAGGGTCAACATGACACAGGGTCAACACACAACAGGGTCAACATACCACAGGGTCAACACACCACAGGGTCAACACATCACAGGGTCAACATACTACAGGGTCAACACACCACAGGGTCAACATACAACAGGGTCAACATACCACAGGGTCAACACACCACAGGGTCAACACAGACCTTTTCTTGACCAGTAACAGATAACTACACACAACCACATGACTACACTTCAACAACATCAGGACACCATTCATGACTGACTCCAGGTCACATCAATCCTATTTATATGTTGACATTCTCAAGATTGGACAACAGGTATGAATTCTGGGCTTGATACGATGACATGAACTTTTTATACATATTTGTTGATGGTAAAAATGAAGTGTCATAAATAGAATGACAGATACACAGATAATACAGACTGATATGTTCATGAGTATATGATATTAAGAGAAAAGTTACATTAACCAAAATTATAATAAGGAGATATTTTTTGCTCTTTATTGTTTCTCTCTATAAGCACAGAAATGTCATTAATTAAATCTGAAAGTGATTGAAAAACTTGAGTGAGTGGCAAGAGATTCTGTAAAATATAGCACATCAATTATTTGTAAGTTGCTAACTGAGATTCTCTTAGACATCTGGAACAGATTCTAACATATACGTTGATGTTAAAAGGCCAAGGTGACAGAACTTGAATACATGTAACATACTTCTATAAATAAAAATCTGTCACTTGGACCAAAATTTTCATTAAAACGATGAATTAATGCTACAAACAACACCTCAGTCTTCAACAGATTCAGTCAACATGAAACCTACCTGTGGAAGTGATTTCCTCATTAAGGTCAGGTGGGTCATTATAAAAAGACAACCATTTAGAACTGGAAACTGCTGCCATTATAGCCCCCTATAACAAAGAAAAAAACCACAAATCAACACTGCTACAATAAAATGAGATTTTGTTTGCTATAGGTTTATAGCCTTATCTGCTGGTCGGGTGGTGCAGTGGTAACACACTACACTTTCACCTACATATCCACGATTTAATTCCCTGAACAGACAAGAAAAGCTATGGGGGTCACCTACCCGACCACGTGGGTTTTTCACAGATACACTGGTTTCCTATACATACAGGAGGCCCATCACCAGCAGGTATACCACAATAACACTGAACAACATACAGGGGGCCCATCACCAGCTGGTGTACCACAATAACACTGAACAACATACAGGAGGCCCATCACCAGCTGGTATACCACAATAACACTGAACAACATACAGGGGGCCCATTGCCAGCTGGTGTACCACAATAACACTGAACAACATACAGGAGGCCATCACCATCTGGTATACCACAATGACACTGAACAACATACAGGAGGCCACCACCAGCTGGTATACCACAATGACACTGAACAAAATACAGGAGGCCACCACCAGCTGGTGTACCACAATAACACTGAACAACATACAGGAGGCCCATCACCAGCTGGTATACCACAATAACACTGAACAACATACAGAAGGCCCATCACCAGGTGGAAGACCACAATAACACTGAACAAAGTACAGGAGGCCATCACCAGCTGGTATACCACAATAACACTGAACAACGTACAGGAGGCCAGCTGGTATACCACAATAACACTGAACAACGTACAGGAGGCCAGCTGGTATACCACAATAACACTGAACAACGTACAGGAGGCCAGCTGGTATACCACAATGACACTGAACAACGTACAGGAGGCCAGCTGGTATACCACAATAACACTGAACAACGTACAGGAGGCCAGCTGGTATACCACAATAACACTGAACAACTTACAGGAGGCCAGCTGGTATACCACAATGACACTGAACAACGTACAGGAGGCCAGCTGGTATACAACAATAACACTGAACAAAGTACAGGAGGCCAGCTGGTATACCACAATAACACTGAACAACTTACAGGAGGCCATCACCAGCTGGTATACCACAATGACACTGAACATCATACAGGAGGCCACCACCAGCTGGTATACCACAATGACACTGAACAACATACAGAAGGCTCATCACCAGCTGGTATACCACAATGACACTGAACAACATACAGGAGGCCATCACCAGCTGGTATACCACAATAACACTGAACAACATACAGGAGGCCCATCACCAGCTGGTATACCACAATAACACTGAACAACATACAGGGGGCCCATTGCCAGCTGGTGTACCACAATAACACTGAACAACTTACAGGAGGCCATCACCAGCTGGTATACCACAATGACACTGAACATCATACAGGAGGCCATCACCAGCTGGTATACCACAATGACACTGAACAACATACAGAAGGCTCATCACCAGCTGGTATACCACAATGACACTGAACAACATACAGGAGGCCATCACCAGCTGGTATACCACAATAACACTGAACAACATACAGGAGGCCATCACCAGCTGGTATACCACAACAACACTGAACAACATACAGGAGATCTATCACCAGCTGGTATACCACAATAACACTGAACAACGTACAGGAGGCCTATCACATACAATCAAGGCCAATTATGGTAACTGAGTTTACAACCAGAGCAGCACAGAATGGTTTGTTTCTCAGTTTCCCAATGAATGCAAACCAACAAGTGTAGACAGTGTCAAACAACACACCTCAGACCCTCATGTAAGGTTGAATATATACACCCACACTTTACTGACTCAGCTATATCAACTCTCATGGAAAATAACAACTAGCCAGCACAATGATTTTCTATCACTACAAAACTGTGTAATTGTATAAAGGAAGTCTTATTTTTTCTGTTTTTTTTTTTATATTTTAATATCGTTAAGTTTCATACGTCTTGCTAAAATTTGATTAGCGCAAAACAGAAAAGAAAGGCAAAATTCTTGTTACTTTTCATCTTTAGTAAGCAGGATCATTCCAAGTATCAACCTCTAAAATAAAGCATCCTGTGGAAGATTTACCAATGGTCAGATTAGATAGGATGTTAGAATACACCTGAGTCATATAGGACAGGATATTGTGATATGCAGAAACATTGTAGAATGAATACATGTTATGTTAAAAAAAATGACATTTGTCTGACATTTACAAGGAAATTACATAATAAATAGCTAAACTGACTAAGACTTTATCAAAATTATGATAAAAATTTCACCTTTAATTTCCGCCGTGCATTAAATTTTCTTAACTCGTCTACTGTTTCATGGAGATGTGATTTTGGCACTTGTCCTCTCACCTACAAAAACAGAAAAAGTTGAAATCAAAAGTAAATGTTTCACACCACTCTGATTAACTCATGTTTTTAAAGGCAAAAATTATACATAATTATAGGTCTTGTCATGCAAAATAAAACATAAAAATCATGTCTTCAGGCATACTAACTCACCTTGATCAAACAGAAACAGGTAAACCTGACTCACCTTGATCCAACCTAAACAGATAAACCTGACTCACCTTGATCCTACATAAACAGGTAAATCTGACTCACCTTGATCCTACATAAACAGGTAAATCTGAATCACCTTGATCCTACAGAAACAGGTAAACCTGACTCACCTTGATACAGGTAAACCTGACTCACCTTGATCCTACAGAAACAGGTAAACCTGACTCACCTTGATCCTACAGAAACAGGACTCACCTTGATACAGGTAAACCCGACTCACCTTGATCCTACATAAACAGGTAAACCTGACTCACCTTGATCCTACACAAACAGGTAAACATGACTCACCTTGATCCTACATAAACAGGTAAACTTGACTCACCTTGATCCTACATAAACAGGTAAACATGACTCACCTTGATCCTACATAAACAGGTAAACCTGACTCACCTTGATCCTACAGAAACAGGTAAACCTGACTCACCTTGATCCTACAGAAACAGGTAAACCTGACTCACCTTGATCCTACATAAACAGGTAAACCTGACTCACCTTGATCCTACATAAACAGGTAAACCTGACTCACCTTGATCCTACATAAACAGGTAAACCTGACTCACCTTGATACAGGTAAACCTGACTCACCTTGATCCTACATAAACAGGTAAACCTGACTCACCTTGATCCTACATAAACAGGTAAACATGACTCACCTTGATCCTACAGAAACAGGTAAACCTGACTCACCTTGATACAGGTAAACCTGACTCACCTTGATCCTACAGAAACAGGTAAACGTGACTCACCTTGATCCTACACAAACAGGTAAACCTGACTCACCTTGATACAGGTAAACCTGACTCACCTTGATCCTACATAAACAGGTAAACCTGACTCACCTTGATAAAGGTAAACCTGACTCACCTTGATAAAGGTAAACCTGACTCACCTTGATAAAGGTAAACCTGACTCACCTTGATACAGGTAAACCTGACTCACCTTGATAAAGGTAAACATGACTCACCTTGATACAGGTAAACCTGACTCACCTTGATCCTACATAAACAGGTAAACCTGACTCACCTTGATCCTACATAAACAGGTAAACCTGACTCACCTTGATCCTACATAAACAGGTAAACCTGACTCACCTTGATAAAGGTAAACCTGACTCACCTTGATAAAGGTAAACCTGACTCACCTTGATAAAGGTAAACCTGACTCACCTTGATAAACAGGTAAACCTGACTCACCTTGATACATAAACAGGTAAACCTGACTCACCTTGATCTTACATAAACAGGTAAACCTGACTCACCTTGATAAAGGTAAACCTGACTCACCTTGATAAAGGTAAACCTGACTCACCTTGATAAAGGTAAACCTGACTCACCTTGATAAAGGTAAACCTGACTCACCTTGATAAAGGTAAACCTGACTCACCTTGATCCTACAGAAATAGGTAAACCTGACTCACCTTGATAAAGGTAAACCTGACTCACCTTGATAAAGGTAAACCTGACTCACCTTGATAAAGGTAAACCTGACTCACCTTGATCCAGGGATGATTTAAAGCTTCTTCTATTGTTATTCGTTTTTCTGGATCTGTTTCCAATAATTTGTTAACTAAATCTTTTGCATAATTGGATAATTGTAACCACTGTTTTCTCATCTGAAAAAGGAAAAGAGAAAATATTAAAGTTGTCTCCCTTTAATAGATTCTTCAGAATTTCAGCTAAATTTTGCAAGTTTTCAATTGCTCAACACAATAATCAGGTCTTTGTCTTTAATATAACTGGAATTGAGAAAAACTAAAAGCCTCCCAACATTTCAAGCTATTATTTATCAAAGTACAATACATTCAGCAAAGACTTCCCATCTGTTGTACAATCATATACAATACTATAAAGACAAAAATGGTTAGAAAGCAAATTAATTTGAAACAATTTGATTATAAACCAAAGAATATTCTTACTTTAAATTTCTGTATACACTGCATATAACTTGCAGAAAAATATAAACATCCAGTTAGCTTAATAACAATTGGTTTGGGATGAGAAATGTAAACCAAATTCTTTTGTGATCGTCTAAAACTACTAGCATGCTTGACAACTGGTTTATCAAAAACAAAATATGAAAGTAAACTATTGGTAGTGATTGTCAGTAAGGAAAGACAAAGGTGGTCTTAACAGAGACATCTTGCAACTCTCCATGCTTCAGAGTTTCTTGATCTGATCGTAAATTTTGCTATCCTCACAGAAAATCATTCTACGCTATTGCACCACACTGCAGAAAAACAAACACATTTTTATTTGTGTGCAAAGTCTAAGACCATTTGATACTTAGACTATTAATGCTATAACTATTGTCCATGGTCAGGTGGCTTAGTGGTAAAAAACTTGCCTCCCACCTCGCCGTCCAGTTTGCTTCCTCAAACAGACATGAAAAGACAGGTGTCACCTTCTGGACCACATTAGATTTCCCCAGGTGCTCCGGTTTCTTCCCATAGTAAGATCCCACATACACTTACATTTGTGCCAACAAGAGTAAAAGTTGGAAAAAAAACTTGTTTTGTAATTGTTGTAAAACAAATAAAGTTTAAAAAAGTTGTAATTTTCCATAAGTTGTCCCATATTTTGCTAAATGTCTTATCTGCAACTAACATAAAATTCAATTTTCTACCATTCAAACAAATAAACATAACCATATATAAACCCAACCCTCATACATGTTAATTTCAGTTGTCATTGACAGGTCTATGTGAACCTTTAGTTTATCAGGGCACCAGCATTATGTTACTGCCAGTTTCAAGGTACGTATGAAAAATTGACAGCAATATCTATGCTACCATCAAGGAAGTTTCTCTAAGCTAAACAATTATATTCGAAACAGGGAACATTTTTATCGTGTTCATTTACAAATTTAACATGGAGAAATAGAATGATTACTATCAAAATATCTTAGGCTAAAACAAGATAGGCAGCCATATTGGATTTCCAGTTGATGGTATAATGGCTCCCTGTTATTAAGGAATCCTTGATTGGACATGCAAGACTGAGATGAAAACAAGGAAACCATGCCTCTACACTATATCAAATTCATATTGGTTTTGTAACTTAGTAATTCTATTTTCTACATTAAACTGCAGCTTAATTGATATTACAAAAATAAGAACATAGTCCTAATGGAAATTAATTCTGTGTGTGACAACCACAATATTTTGTCACTAATTCTGTCCATGACAACCACAAACCTTGTCACTTATTCTGTCTGTGACAAGGACAATCTGTGTTACTAATTCTGTCTGTGACAAGGACAATCTGTGTTACTAATTCTGTCTGTGACAAGGACAATCTGTGTTACTAATTCTGCCTGTAACAACTATGGTCCTTGTTACTAAATCTGTCTGCGACAACAACAATCTGTGTTACTAAATCTGTCTGTGACAAGGACAAACTGTGTTTCTAATTTTGCCTGTAACAACTATAGTCTGTGTTACTAATTCTGTCTATGAAAATCATTGCTCCTACAACTTATTTGGTCTGTGACTAGAGACAGAGTTTTTGTGACCATGGTTTATCAAAATTAATTCTCTTTCTGGAACAGGATCTTCTGCAGGCTCATCATTGAGGAGCAACCGTGAGGATGTTGATACAGACTTGCATCCCACCTACAGTCTGGCTAAAGGGTTACAATCCCGGATCCTACCACTAAAACATGCATCAACATGCATGAGTGTAATGCTTGGTAGCTACAGAAACTATTTCTACGACAATGCCCCTTACATCCATTTCGTCTTGTAGAGAAGAGGTCTTTGATCTTACATGATAGCTGCCCTGTGCGATCTTCTCGAACACATGTTCCTTGGTGCCGACAAAGGGGGGATAACCTCCTAGTAGAATAAACATCATAACACCACATCCCCACGCATCTACCGGCTTGCCGTATGCCTCTCGCTTCACAACCTCGGGGGCCATATACTGTGGTGTTCCAATACGACCTAGGCAAAAAATAGAAACAGTCAACAATCATACTATGTTATACTCTCTAATGTTTAAGTGAAAATAGAATTAAGGTTTAATACATCAGCTACATTCAATGAAATTTTCTAGATTCCACTTGTTTCTATGCTGAAAAACGATCATTTCATTGTGTTGAACCACTTACCGAACAGAAATTTAATATATCTTGTCCGAATGGTAACAGTAATGGACTTTTTTTTCTGAATTTGATAGTTTGGCAATTCCAAGCATAACAGAGAAATCAATTTCTCTTAAGTACTGTAGCTCAGCGTGAGAATGTGCTATACCACAACAAAACCTTGGACATGGCTCTTTTGTTACGTGTTATCAACTGAATATGGAGAAGACAAGAGGATTTCATCAACATCTGATCTAAGGGAGATAACTCAATTTTTTTTTATCTGGAGAAGACATTGAAACAAAATTATGAGTGGAAGTTAAAACCATTTCTTCACAGACTTTAATATTTCTAACTTTATAAATCATTTATTGTCAAGATTTAAATCAAACGAAATTTTAAATGCAGATGAAATTTAGAATCATTGAAACAGCTATTTAATTTCTGCACAATTATCATTATTACCAATACAGTAATCCCTCTGCTGGGATTAATTACAGTACTGAATAACAGCTGAAGCGACTTTCTCTGCTATAATGATGTTTAAATTTAACATAAAAGTTGCTGAATTGGTAAAGTTTATTCACTGAATCCATCAAACAGCCTTAAAGCATGGCAAAATGGAAGACAGCAAAATAATTTATTAATATAATATTGTATAAACTACTGAAACCAAAGCCATACACCAACCTGTGTATGGTAGTTATGTTGTGTATAGTGTTAGTAGCACATGTATTGATCTAATTAATTCTATAGTGATCACAATTTAATCACATCGGTATGGATGATAATGAAACTATTATTTATGAAAATTGTTTTTTTAATTATTTGAAAATTTTCAATTATGTTCTAGTATAATGAAATATTGGTTGATTCCAGCAATTTTAAAAGTTTGAGCAGATCATGATAAAGCGAGCTGACTCGACAGAGTCAGGTGAGTTGGCGGCCCTGGAAAGGCCTATCATTACAGGTGTAACCTATTGTTTTTATCAAAGCATTAAGCCCATGCCTGGCAATAAGCTCATCTATAAAATATTGCTGTCAATTAACGAGGTAAGTAAGTGTTGGCCCTCTTGGACTATTAGAGGATATATATGATAGTGAAAACAGATTCAAACAAACCCACAACCATCACATTGTACATAGCAAGGAATACAGAATGCACGTTGAAATGGAAATAGTAAGGAATAATGAAATTGAAACACAAATTCGGCATGATGATTTTTTTGTTAGCTGGGTTTATGGATCTGTGAACAGCCAGGGACATTTTCAGGGAGGGTTTTCCTGTAATAGCTGGTGACTGCCTCACTGAACAACATACAGGAGGCCCATTTCAAGCCATCCAGAGCAATTGGAGTAAAGTGTGCAGCCCACCAAGGTTACAACCACAAAGCAGTTGACAGAACGGTCCCTTTCTCAGCTTCCTGAGAAACACAAACCGCAACTGGTAAACACTGCTTAGCCACGTGTCTTGGATCTACATGTACACCTGAGTAGACCAATCCTCAACCCTGTGATCCATCACAGCCCCAGTTGTGATGACACAGCAACATGTTAGTTATGATGTCATGGCAATATATGCATGATAAGCATTATGACAACACAAGACTATTAGCACTACAACATATCACTGTTTCTATGGTAATACATTATTGTTTCTAAGGCAACTAGTCTTACCAACTACATCATTTCTCAAGTCAACCACAGGGTCCAAGCCAAAGCGGATTTCTTCCTCTGGAAACCGGGGTAAATAACAACAATAAACACAAACAACAATAAACAGCAAGCATTGCAATCTGACAATACCGATCAACCAGGGTCACACGACTGTTCTTAGGTCAAAGGTCAATACTATCTTTATATTTTTATCAATTCCCAGCAGAGCTTATTTGAAACAGCTTATACATAACTTTGAAAGAGCAATGTACATTGTTCAATGTTTTCTTTGCAACAGCCAAGGGAAAAAACTCTTGCTAGTCTATTGAATTTACAGCTGTGATATTTTCTTACAATGAATAGTTCCAATTCTTTTGTAGAATTTTAGAGTCTGAAATAAATAAATAAATAAATAAATAAATAAATAAAACATTCTGGTTTAGGCCACACCAACCATACATTACATTTGTTACATGCATGAATATTACTCTATCTGTCACATGCTCTTTTTGAAAATAATTAGCTTCAAAGAAATTGAGATTTTCATGTAATTCTTATGAATTCATCACTGAATTTTTCTCCATTTATCCCTTGTTTTTTTAACTTTGACCAGAAGCAATGATTTGGTTGGTGTGACCTTAAGGAAAGATAGCATTCTTTGTCATTAAATATTCTCTTCTCTGTCGTGTGTCCATGGTACCAGCTCTAATACAACACATAAAACAACAAAATCATTAATACCTCTATACAGTTACTTATGTTTGATCTTGTAAATTATTAGAAAGTTTACAAGTGTATCAAATAAGTTCAAAATTATTTCTTAACCTAGATTTCAGACTGAAGTGATTATAAAAAATATTATTTAATGTCTTCATCTTAATACTGTTTTCTGTCTAGATCTTAATACTGTTTTCTGTGTAGATCTTAATAGATCTAATAATACTGTTTTGCCCTCATCTTAATTATTATTCTAATGTTTAAAACCTAATAATGTTTTATTTCCAAATCTTAATTTTGTTTTGACTTCATCTTATTATTGTTTTATGGCAAAATCTTAAACTTGTTTTATGTTCTCATTTTAATACAGTTTCATGTCCTCATCTAAATATTTCATAACATCTATATTTAAATGCTAGGTGAATGTTTTGTCTTCAAATATGTATAATATCCTAATTGTCTTAATATTGTTTAATATCCTTGTCTTAATATTGTTTGATATCTTAATATTGTTTGATATCCTTGCCTTAATATTGTTAATATTGTTTGATATCCTTGTCATAATATAGTTTGATATCCTTGTCTTAATATTGTTTGACATCCTTGTCTTAATATTGTTTGATATCAACATCTTAATAATGTTTAATATCCTTGTCTTAATATTGTTTGATATCCTTGTCCTAATATTGTTTGATATCCTTGTCTTAATATTGTTTGATATCAACATCTTAATAATGTTTAATATCCTTGTCTTGATATTGTTTGATATCCTTGCCTTAATATTGTTTGATATCCTTGCCTTAATATTGTTTGGTATCCTTGTCCTAATATTGTTTGATATCCTTGTCATAATATAGTTTGATATCCTTGTCTTAATATTGTTTGATATCAACATCTTAATAATGTTTAATATCCTTGTCTTAATATTGTTTGATATCCTTGTCCTAATATTGTTTGATGTCCTTGTCTTAATATTGTTTGATATCCTTGTCATAATAGTGTCTGATATCCTTGTCTTAATATTGTTTGATATCCTTGTCCTAATAGTGTCTGATATCCTTGTCTTAATATTGTTTGATATCCTTGCCTTAATATTGTTTGATATCCTTGTCTTAATATTGTTTGATGTCCTTGTCTTAATATTGTTTGATATCCTTGCCTTAATATTGTTTGATGTCCTTGTCTTAATATTGTTTGATGTCCTAGTCTTAATATTGTTTGATGTCCTAGTCTTAATATTGTTTAATATCCTTGTCTTAATATTGTTCGATGTCCTTGCCTTAATATTGTTTGATATCCTTGTCCTAATATTGTTTGATATCCTTGTCTTAATATTGTTTGATATCCTTGTCTTAATATTGTTTGATATCCTTGTCCTAATATTGTTTGATATCCTTGTCTTAATATTGTTTGATATCAACATCTGAACATTGTTAATGCTAAATACTCCATGCTGTTTACTATCAATGTCTTTATGTACACGAGCTGTTAAATGTCAATACCTTCATTAATTGTTGTTGTATAAAAACATCTTAACATTGTTTAAGTTCAACATCTTAATAGTGTTAGATATCAATGTAAGTACAGCTGAACTTCGTTATCTCAAATTAGTATAACTCAAATACCCTGTTGGTTGGAAGTATTTCATCTGTCTTGTCAAATCTTTTCACTAAACATAAAATCACACTTAAATTGAGTGTTCAGGTAACTCAGTTTTCAAATGGTTCCCAAAACTCTGAAACAACAAAATTCAACTGTATCCATAAGCACAGTTATTGGAAACCTAAACTGTTGAAGACATATATGTCCAAGAATTTTTTGAGGAGAAACGATCAAAACAGAGAATATTCCAACACATGCTAGACAATATCACAATAAAACACAAGGTATACTGCCCTATGGAACTACTCTAAAGAAGAAATACCAAACACTGCCCTCAATTTCAGGGTGAACAATTTAATTTTTTGCCAGAGATAATAAAATTTCGCAGTAACATGTGATTGATTCTTTACCGTTCTAATTTAGCAAACAGTGTAATGCGCTATTGTCATCAATTTGGTGGAAGCCAATGGAAGGAAATGAAATTGTTTCTTGTTTTCTACTTTCTTTTCTTCTTGTTTTCTACAGCATTAAGTGATAAATTACAAGACATAATGTGGACTGTGTGATAATTATCTCGTACTTGGATGAAAAAACAAAAACAAAACAAAAAAACATTCCTCAACCATATCTTTCCCAGACTTGATAATTGCATAATGAAACAACGTGATGTCACATGGTCAATTAACGCAGCTTGTGACATCATATCGTTGCCAGACAGATTAAAAGTACCAAAGTTGTCAATAACAGACAAGCATGCTGTGTTACTAAAAATAGCATGCAGAGAAATTAATGGGAAAACTAGGACTGCTTCCTTCCCGCCAATCAAGTTTCAAATCCTTTGATTGGTTGACCAAAGTAAGTCATACATGAAAGTGCATGTGATGTGTGGGGAGGCGGTGAATTTTCAATCGGACATCTCTCTCAAGTTTGTATTTAGAACATGACAAAACTTTTTTGTTTCGTTTTTTTTTTTTTTTTTTTATCCTAAATTAACACACAAAATACCTTTGGATGAATTTCATTGAAGCAGTTGTTTTATAGAAACTGAAGAATATTCCTAGTTGATTGAGATGAGGATTGAATTCTAGAGCACAGACGATCAAATATCAACAGGGATTACAAATCATTTCTCAAATGATTTTAAATTTTTCAATATAAATATAAAATATAAAATATCAGTAATGTTTACATATTTTGATAAAAACATATATATCTTATATCAATATTTCTAGTTCTGATTTTGTAGTTAAAAGTAACAAAAAAATTATGAAGAAAAAGGTATGCAGTTATAAGATTTTCTGTTTTGTTTATACAAGACATATCTTTCTCTGTTATCCGTCTGAAAATAGGTCACGGTCACATCTATGGCAGTTTATACCTCCTGATATAAGCCCCGATTCTGGGAGCTGAGTTGCGACCCCAAATCCACCCAATTTGACTGGGGCAGAGTTTTCCTTGCTAGCAAGAAGCACACAGTGAGGCTTAAGGTCACGATGGATGATCCCGTTGGCATGGCAATATCGCATAGCTTCCAGAATCTGTTTCATATAGTGGCTAAAATGTAAGAAAAAATGTTATCATCAAAACACAGTCATATGATTGTGGAAGGAATAATTACCTTTCATTAACGTTAAGTAGTTTATAGATAATATTATCTACTGAACTAGAAATGATCTCTGTAGGAGACATGAACAGTTGTTATACTCAGGAGTCTGATATAGAACAACTCTTATATTTACAAGAAAAAATGTGATAACAGTACTGTCATGCAATATACACTATTCATTTTTAGTATCTGCAAATTCACTGTTTAATAATGATAAGGAAAAAATGAAACAAAACAATTTTTTTAATTCTTATAAAATGTCACTTATAAATTATCATCTTTTTTTTGTAATTTTTAAAATACATTACATGGTTGTTTTATCAAAAAACACATCTTGGACAAATTAAAAGTGGAATGGAAAGAAGAATACATGTTAGTTTTTATAATGCAGAGACACTCTTACAGGGGGTGGGTTTGTTACAGGACCTACTCAAAGTCAGTGGTGGGCTTGTTACAGGACCTACTCAAAGTCAGTGGTGGGCTCGGTACAGGACCTACACAAAGTCAGTGGTGGGCTTGTTACAGGACCTATACCAAGTCAGTGGTGAGCTTATTACCAAGACCTACCCAAGTTGGGGGTGGACTTGTTACAGGACCTACTCAAAGTCAGTGGTGGGCTTGTTACAGGACCTACTCAAAGTCAGTGGTGGGCTCGTTACAGGACCTACACAAAGTCAGTGGTGGGCTTGTTACAGGACCTACTCAAAGTCAGTGGTGGGCTTATTACCAAGACCTACCCAAGTTGGGGGTGGACTTGTTACAGGACCTACACAAAGTCAGTGGTGGGCTTGTTACAGGACCTACACAAAGTCAGTGGTGGGCTCGTTACAGGACCTACACAAAGTCAGTGGTGGGCTCGTTACAGGACCTACACAAAGTCAGTGGTGGGCTCGTTACAGGACCTACACAAAGTCAGTGGTGGGCTTGTTACAGGAAATACACAAAGTCAGTGGTGGGCTTGTTACAGGACCTACACAAAGTCAGTGGTGGGCTCGTTACAGGACCTACACAAAGTCAGTGGTGGGCTTGTTACAGGACCTACACAAAGTCAGTGGTGGGCTCGTTACAGGACCTACTCAAAGTCAGTGGTGGGCTTGTTACAGGACCTACTCAAAGTCAGTGGTGGGCTTGTTACAGGACATACACAAAGTCAGTGGTGGGCTTGTTACAGGACCTACACAAAGTCAGTGGTGGGCTTGTTACAGGACCTACACAAAGTCAGTGGTGGGCTTGTTACAGGACCTACACAAAGTCAGTGGTGGGCTTGTTACAGGACCTACACAAAGTCAGTGGTGGGCTTGTTACAGGACCTACACAAAGTCAGTGGTGGGCTTGTTACAGGACCTACACAGTCAGTGGTGGGCTTGTTACAAGACAATTGGATTTGTTTGTAATTTGGCTGTACAGCAATATTAATGGAGGCGGGCTTATGAACAGGAACACAATAATATTGATTCCTTGTAACAAATTTGATGGACATGATCTGATATAGGAAATATAGTGGAGTATACTATCGTTTGAAATCAAATTGATACAGGGGTATCTTTTTTACAGAACTATGTATCAATATATAGATAAAATATAGACAAACACACACTTATACACGCCCCCCCCCCCCCCTTCTACACCCACCAACACACACTTGTTAATGTAAATTAACTTTTTTTGCTACAACTTACTTTTACCATTTCCAATGCATAACAAGATTGTACCAATTAACTTTCATGAAACAGACTATATTTTGCTATACCATAATCATTGTTTGTCATCCCTGCCTTAATTTGACGATGAACTTTCACAAATTTGTTTCAATCATGAAACTTACAAAAAATAAATTGCCCAAGAAAGAAAGTTAGACGACAGTAATTGGCACACCCTTATAGCCAACAAGTTTGAAAAACATAGCACTCAATTCAAATTAAGTCCTTAGTTACACACCTTCTTACCAAGCCCTCGCTTAACATGCAAGACCAGGTAATTCACTGTTTGTAAAACTCGGAGTCAAGTGAATGACACACGTAATGGCGATGTTGTAGGCTTACATAACAACTCTGAAGAAGTGCAAATAAGGTAAATATCTTTTTTTTTATTTACTTCCACAATTCAACTACATATCATTAATTCTTAAACAGAGAAATCTGCCACATAAGGAATCAGCATCCGTACCAATAACTGATGGAGAAGGTGACATAAAAAAACTAACTGAAGTGTTAAGGACAGACAGACAAAATACAATAAAGAGTCATCAATTTCAATGGTGAGGGCACAAAAACAACCTTCATGCAACACTTTGTCTTCATTTAGCATCACTTTTTCATGTGAAATTCTGCTTTCTAAATGAATAATACATTTCTGTTACACAAACCATTCATTGTCTTACCAGCATTGACAATCGTAATAAGAAACTAATTTCTTTGTCTAGAAAAACGAAATCAATGATTTTGTTTTTTTAACATTTTATTACAAAGGGAGCCATTGAGTTAGTTATATAGAGTTCAGTTAAATCGAGAGTAAAGACATGCTTAATGTTTTCTATGACTGATACATCTTCACAAATGTCAGGACTTTATTTGCAGGGTAAATTTGCCCCACGAGCAGCCTGTCATCTTGAGGTGTGGTCTCCTTGTAGCAGCCGATGGCTACCTTATTGAACAACATGCTGGAGGCCTGTCACACACCATCCAGAGCAATCAGGATAAAATTCTTGCCTAAAGACAGGACTACATCAGCACAGATCAATCTGTTTGTCAGCTTCCTGAGAAACACAAACTGCCAAGGGTCTGGAGCATCAAACCACGCACCTCAGATCTTCACCTGAGGGTCAATACTCTACCATCTTAGCAATCACTGCTCCTAATACCAGAACTGAAATGGCCTTCAGTGTGTACCACCTGCATACATGATAGATCTCAAATCCAATCTCTAGATGAATGAAAATTAAAAGTGAAACGATTCTGTGAAGACCATCCCTGTAGCCTTTCCAGGCAGACAGGTGGCTCTAATGTATATTTTAGTTTAATTACCTAAATATTTCTTTGTACATGACACAACTGTTGCTCATTACCGCTTCCCTAATTTGCACCTCCCTCTCCCAAAATGATCATGTGACCAACTTGACCAATGGTCAATCCAGCCTTAGAGGGTATCCCCTATTCAAACAGCAGGTGATCAGTCAGTTTTCTGGAACAGTAGCAGCTTTTCCTTGTTCTACTTGAGATTAATTCTTAATTACCTCCTTAAACTTGTCATCAATGAGAACAATGACAATATGATTAGATATTACAGTAAGCTCAGGTTCCACAACTGCCAACCGGAGCATAAGCTTCATCCTAGCAACTCCACCCGAATTCACCCTAGCCTCAGATAAGGAACAACTACTAGTACTATATATGGCTGCAACGTAAACAACGTTAGGCTGCACAATACACATTTAACATTTAGTGGAAACAGTCTTGCAGCAGCTGAGGAATGACATCATAACAGGTAGAAATGTCACACTTCCTGCATTTTAAGGTCCTTACTTTAGAGGACCGGGGAGGGGGTGATAATGGCACTCCAGAAGCCAAGTCAGATGATCGGGGAGGGGGTGATAATGGCACTCCAGAAGCCAAGTCAGATGATCGGTGAGGGGGTAATAATGGCACTCCAGAAGCCAAGTCAGATGATCGGTGAGGGGGTGATAATGGCACTCCAGAAGCCAAGTCAGATGATCGGTGAGTGGGTGATAATGGCACTCCAGAAGCCAAGTCAGATGATCGGGGAGGGGGTGATAATGGCACTCCAGAAGCCAAGTCAGATGATCGGGGAGGGGGTGATAATGGCACTCCAGAAGCCAAGTCAGATGATCGGTGAGGGGGTAATAATGGCACTCCAGAAGCCAAGTCAGATGATCGGTGAGGGGGTGATAATGGCACTCCAGAAGCCAAGTCAGATGATCGGTGAGTGGGTGATAATGGCACTCCAGAAGCCAAGTCAGATGATCGGGGAGGGGGTGATAATGGCACTCCAGAAGCCAAGTCAGATGATCGGTGAGGGGGTGATAATGGCACTCCAGAAGCCAAGTCAGATGATCGGTGAGTGGGTGATAATGGCACTCCAGAAGCCAAGTCAGATGATCGGGGAGGGGGTGATAATGGCACTCCAGAAGCCAAGTCAGATGATCGGTGAGGGGGTGATAATGGCACTCCAGAAGCCAAGTCAGATGATCGGTGAGGGGGTGATAATGGCACTCCAGAAGCCAAGTCAGATGATTGGGAAGGGGGTGATAATGGCACTCCTGAAGCCAAGTCAGATCACAGATTGAGATGCATTTTGAGCCTGGGAGAATTAATTCATTTATATGGAACAAATAAACTATATTATACGTGAACTCTTTCCTCATGGGAGAGTTGCGCTAGACATGGACAAAAAGGACAATATTAAAATGGCATTCCACTTTCCCAGTGCGGGTTTCTACGAACATTTTCAATGTGTGCTGTCACTTATCTTAGATGTGTGCGAGACTGGTCTAGGCGAGACTACAATTTACTTAGCAACATTTTCACCAACCACCAGGCCCATATATGTATTTACTGCGGGAGCTCTCTGCACCTCTCCTTGTTTTACCCAGCATCCTCTCCATAAAGTTCTCCCTTGTTGTACAATCATTCAATCAACAATCAAGTTTCTCTTACTAAAGACGCCACCAACTGTAAGGTTACTGACACTAATGGCAGGCCAAGAAGTTCTCATGACAACATGGCAATTTGTAACAATATCAACAGGGAGCAGGGCTGTACGATGTCGTCATGTTCTGAAGTACACAATTCCTGCAAAAATAGCCATGCTAAGACTGATTGCCCTTTAGGCAAGATTTGGTCTCAGGACAGGAAAAATTACAGACTTGGTGGCAACAGCACTTGTTTGTATATCATCATGGTGAAAGGAACTGAAATCACACCTGGATATT